TATGGTAATTTCATAACTCTGCTAAGGAAAACATCTTTATAAAATCTGAAAGATGTGAGGGTCTTGCACCTAAGGTTTTGGAGCAAGATTCTTATGGTCTCGCTATTGTCAGACCATCTTCCTGAGAAATGTTCTATTATATTAAGAATAAGGGTATACACAACATTTTGGGAAAGATCATGTTCTCCTTCTTGCTTTACAGCTTGGAGAATCTTATCTCTTTATTTTTGGTTTAGATAATTATTCCACCAACCTTTTAGTTGACTAGTAAAACCTGTTGTTATCATATCAGCAATAGTTTTATCACTATTCTTGTTAGCCTTACAGATAGTGTTGTACATAAGCATTCTATGTACAGTTATATAAATCTGTTTATCTGTATAACCATCTATGTTCCATTCATAGATTTCCTTTCCATTATAACTATTAGTTATAATATGTTCATGCTCTTCCAAGAGCACATCCTGAGGAGTTGGTCTAGCATAGTAGTACATCCTTTGAACAGACTTTCTTGCATATTTTTCTGAGATTTTATTAATCTCATCAGAAAACTCTTTTTTATAACTCCTTTCTCCTCCTGAAAACTCGTCAACCCCCAAAGGCTTTAGACTACAGCCTTTGAATCTTTTTTCTAATAGACTTTTCAGATCTGAAAAGTCTTTTAGCTTAAAATCATCGATCTCCGGGGGAGGTTGGATACTGGTATTTGCTACTTTCTCCTTTCCTTTAGAATTGGAATTGAGTCTAGAAAGAAGTTTATCAACATTATCATGAATAGAAGTAATTTGTTCTCCTAATATGCTCATATATATGTTAGCATAATTTTGCTGCCTGATCATAATATTAATATGTTGAGTAGTAAGTAAAGCAGTATTATCTTCAAATAATTTTGAAAGAGCATTAAAATGAACAATCGTGTCATCCTTTTTAATTTGAAATGATTGTAAGGGAGGAAAAACAGATTTAGTAACTTTCCCAGTACTTAATGTAAAATCTCTTTCTATCTAGAGATATAACTATGGACATGCTTGGTCATAAACCATGGAACAAAAGCAATTAAAACATTTAACTTTGATTCAATAAGATCAGTATAAAACTCTTCTTGAAAATCGATCTGTTCTTCTTTGTTAAAATTCCTAAAGAACCATTTTTCGAAAGGTTTCCATCTTGATTTCAAAAATTCTTTAGAAATCTTTTCTCTTGCCAGTGAACCCAGACTAAAATCAATTTGTTTGTCAGTCATCATAAAACAATTTTTATGTGAAAAAATCATTTCATACTCAGCTATATCTAAGTCAGAACTGGGCCTGGGCATAGGTCTAGCAATATTATCCTTATCAATTTTAATATTGTCACATCTATAATTTTCTCTAATCTGAGAAGTAGATGCTCTAGAGGGAACCTGAACAATATAATCAACAGGAGAGATATAAAAAGAGTTAGATCTAGAAAGTCTAGAAGACATGCTATGGTTATCAATTCTATCCTGCATGGCTATAGGATCAGAAAATTTAATTTTAACAGTTCCATCATTAAACGGTTCAATTTTCGAAACCTCGTCATTAATATTATTTTTTGATTGAGCTGCACCTTCAATGACCTATTCTTGTGGGAAATCAATTTCATCCCACTGGATAGGTCTTCTGGTAACAACTTTAGATTTACCAAAATTAGTTTCTATAAGAGTAGTTTCATTTTTAAAATCAATCACCCTACACATAGGATTCAAAGTATGTAAGAGTTTATAATAAATTTTGTAGCATATGCAAACAACTTCAGTTCCAGGCATATAATCATAACCATGAAGTTTGACATTAAGCATAAGAGAACTTAATGAATTCTCGTCCTGTAAAAATATCTGTAAATTAGGATAAGCATTAAAATAAACTGGTTCATAAGGAAGACTAGTTTGTATAGTCCCTATAAGGGATTTCTTCTAACTTTGGTTTCTACCATCTCTTAAAGCTGCTATAAATCTTTCTGGTAGTCCTCTTAAAATAAGGTGTTTAAATGCCACCTGAACCAAACCAATATGCATGAATCTGTAAATTTTCCTATAAGGGGTCAGATCATTTTCAGATAATAATCTAAAAGTTTGATGATCACTTTCAATAGTGAGAGTTTCTTCAGTGATTTTAACCACTTGTTTGAGGCCGAGTTTCTCAAATGTTCCCATCTAATATATAATCCTGGGAGGTATTTTTGGAATAGTCCACTTATTAAGTATATCTAGATGTTGAGGTATATCATATTCTTCTTTTCTACTATTTTTAACAGTAGATCTTCTCTTTATGATATTCATAAGTAAAGCTATGTTGAACAATACCAGTAATAATAATAATAATAATAATAATAATAATAATAGTAATAATAATAATAATAATAGTAATAATAATAATAATAATAGTAATAATAATAATAATAATAGTAATAATAATAATAATAATAGTAATAATAATAATAATAATAATAATAATAATTTAATAATAATAATAATATCTCTTTTGTTTGGAATAGGATACCTAATCCATTTTAAATATTTGTTTAAAGGCCTATAATTAATAACCAATCTAGGGACACTTCGCTCCCTTTCAGCAGCATTATTAACATAAAAGGTTGTGCAAGACCAAGGGGATTATTATTATTATTATTTAACAATTTGCACTTTTATTTTAAAATCGTATATCAAAATAGGAAATTTTATAATTCAAATTTAAAATAATTTTCGTGGTAACTAATATGCAATTCAAATTCATTGTTATCCAAATTATACTTTGCCTTTTATTTTTAAATAGTATTTAAAGAGAGGAAAAGTTAAAATTCGAATTTAAAACAATTTTTTTGGAAACAAATAATGAATTCAATTCAAACATTGTTATCCAAATTATTTGATGGTTATTCTTTATGTTTCTTTTTTTAACAAAAAATTAAAAGAATTTTAAATTATTTTTTGAATTTTAAAATTGTTGAATTTTTGTGGTGCTGACATGTGTTACTTTTTACTTCTCCTATTATATATAGATAGATTATGAATTCGACAGCTGTCATTCCAAAACAAATATAATACACTTCTAACAACAAAAAATATTTAGACTTGAGATACTGATAATCTAATGGTATTCCAACGATCGTAATTCACCGGATACGAAGGGTGAAACTCTAATAACAACAACAACAACCCAGTGAAATCCCACTAGGTGGGGTCTGGGGAGGGTAAGTAGTACGCAGACCTTGCCACTACCTCGTGGAGGTAGAGAGGCTGTTTCCAAGAGACCCTCAGCTCAAGTATATCAAATCTAAGTGACAGGAGAGATATATGCAACATAACAGCCAATACAAAAGATAGCGTATAATCAACTAATGAGACAATAACAAGAAAGATATAGGGAGTGATACGCAGTCAACAGCAAAAGGCTAGGACTGCTCCAAACGCTAACAACCCAAACCCTCGCAAGGGAAGACAACCCGCTAACCCTACTAACCTTCAACCTTAATACGCGACCTCCACTCCTTCCTATCTAGAGTCATGTCCTCGGTGATGTGAAGCATAGCCAAGTCTTGTCTAATCACCTCTTCCCAATACTTCTTGGGTCTACCTCTACCCCTCCGCGTACCCTCTACCACCATTACCTCGCACCTCCTCACTGGGGCGTCTGCACTCCGTCTCTTCACATGTCCAAACCATCTCAGTCTCGCTTCCCTCAGCTTGTCCACCACAGAGGCCACTCCCACCTTCTCCCGGATAACCTCATTCCTAATCTTGTCGCTCCTAGTGTGCCCACACATCCATCTCAACATCCTCATCTCCGCAACATGCATTTTATGAACATGTGCGTTCTTAACTGGCCAACACTCCGCTCCATACAACAAGGCCGGTCTAACTACCACTCAAAATTTATAAGTGGTCTAGCATTACATGTAACCATGGTTTTGCCAGCTTTGGAGACAACACTAGTTGGGAGTATGTTTCCTTATAGAGTTCACGATCAATTATACTTCAGGTGTTAGGAAAGACCAATCATACTAATGAGTAAGTCACCCGTCTTATTTCATCTTTCATGTAGTTTAATGTGTTATTGGAAGTAGTATAAGATGAATGAAAAGTGAAATGAGAAGGCAACCGATTACACCTGAACTTACACAGAATACAGTCATACAGAACAAAGAAAGGGGTTAACTTGAGGGACAGGAACAGATGCCATAACTGGCAGTAAGAGTATGTTGTTCACTTTCACTTCTAATGATTGAAGATAAGTTTCTAGTGATGCTATTATATTTGGTGGTCTGGCTTTTAGCTTGCATATTCAAGAAGCTGCTTACCAACAATGACAAGTTGGAAGTGAAGTGGAGGCAATAAGCTTTTCCTGCTGGCCTCCTAGGAATGAATTCTCTGCTGGCCTCCTTTTCCTGCTAACCAAACTTAAGGAGGGAGAACACGTGTCTACTGATTTTCTTCTTTCCTCCATCTACATAAAAGAGTTATGCATGATGATTCCAACCTTTTCCATGCCAGGTTATTGTGTCTTAGATCAGCATGTCCAAGTCACCTCCTAGATATATGTGACCCTGCCATCTTTGATGGCCAAGTTAAAACTATGATTTGTCTCTATGCCGTTTATGCCAAATATTCTTACCTGTGAATAGGTCGGTTCATTTATCTGAAGGTTTCGCCCTATCAAATTTTACACTACACAACATCTTCTTAGATATTCTTTATTGTTGCATATCAATAGAGCCATTGAAGTAGACTAGTAAAATTCAGCTTCTCCACATGTTATAAAGAAACCACTTGATTGCTTATCACCCAAATGTTCCATTTCACCCTAACCTTTCAAGAGGAGCTTTTAGAATGCCTAGCACTCTTTTAATATTAACTTTTATAGTTAGCCAATCAACGTCACTGCAATGTTCTCTTAGTAACTCTTTGAATATTCTATGCTGTAGGGATCTATTCATATCTCAAATCTTAATGTCTAATGTATATAAAAGGCACTTTCTAAATGTTTTCTGGTTATCCACCTTTGTTCAGGGTAGGGTACAGATGGATCGCCAGGTTTCTTGCCCTTGGCTGTTATGCTATGCTGCTTATACCTGGTTTTATTCAAGGTCTGAAACATCTCAGATATGTCATCTGAACACCTGATTTTAAATATCTTGTTGACTTCATATTTTAGAATATAACGCCCATAAATAAATCATGCTTGTCTGATGCAGTTGGATATTACTATTTCTATTCCAGTCAAGTACTTAGAGGCATTGTTTATGGTGATCAACCGAGAAATAGGTATACTTTGTGGAATTCAGTCCTTATTTTCATAGGATGCTTGAGCATACTTTTGTATGCCTTCATGGATTTATACCTGGTTAAAGTCTCATGGTGCAGGCTAGATCTATACCTGCCGAAAAATATGAACGGGCCAAAGCCAGTTGTTGCATTTGTAACAGGTGGAGCATGGATCATTGGGTGCGTAATTAAGTCATTTCCTTCAATTACATCCATTTATCCTTACAACCGAGGAATATCCTATGTTGTAAAATCTAGTCTGAGATAATATGAGCTGCCAGCTTCTATCTGTATGCTAAGTGTGGAAACTGTTACATTTTCTTCACACCATTCACATTATAAGCATCGAAAGCTGATCTATTAGCTTTTCAGCATGAATGCTTGAGGATTATTATTCCTGCTGCTTACTATGCTACGTGGCTACACCGTAGAAGCTCTTATGCTTACATTGTAAACATTAATCAACACATAGTTAAAATAGTGACTCCTTCTCTTGTTTAAGCGAGCCAGTGACGGTTTGATAAAATTTTGTTCTTAGTTATTCTTTCTTCTTTGTGTTACAGCTACAAAGCTTGGGGTTCTCTTCTAGGACAACAATTGTCAGAAAGAGACATTATTGTGGCATGCATTGATTACAGGTGATTACTATTTCATCTGAGAAAACCAGTGCTTTTTTGGGCTTAATGTACATTTGCATGATGGATCGTTTAGATGTATGAGTTTTGTAGTTCATGTTCTCTATTTCTTGCGCATTTCTGAGTTATTAGTTTTTAGTTTTTTTGCTTTCGTAGGAAAGATTTAGGCATTTCATCTTATTTACCACATGATACGTTATCTGAAAAAAATATTACTATGTTTTTGCTGATATTCACTGAAGTTAGCTTTTTGGACACTTGGTATAATTTTTAAGTTCGCTAATACCTGTCTTGTAACTTTCACAACCTACAACAATCTTGTTCTGTGTAATGATACAATAGAACGAACTGGTCTACTATCAGAAAGGCAAAAGCAGAGTGTTGGTTTACCATATATGTGATGATGCATCTAAAGAGCATTACTTATTTTCTTTTCCTCATAAAATAATCTTTCTTGCATCCAAGCACAAAGATCTTTCTCACAATATAACTCCCAACTCATCCGAAAGGAGCCAGCTAATATGATTGGGAAATATTAATCTAACAAGTTGAAGAGGATTAAGAGAAGAACAATGTCCAAGATGTGATGTAAGCTTTGCGCAACCGAGGAAGAAAAATTCCAAGTCAAACTTTCTCCCGTTGTTTCTCTCACGTTGCATATACTATATGTTGGATCATTCGATGGACGCTTAAATTGTACTTGTATGCAGCCACTAGTTGGTTTTTGATAACTAAAGGTGTTACATTAATTGTTTGCAGAAATTTTCCTCAGGGGACAATTAGTGACATGGTTAAGGATGCTTCTCAAGGTATCTCCTTTGTTTGTAACAAGATAGCTGAATATGGAGGTGACCCGAACAGGTAGCCGAGTTGTTTTCTCCTTCATTCTCATGAATAATTCCCTCTAATTAAGAATGAAATATCATGGTTTATTCTTCTTCTAGAATTTACTTAATGGGACAATCCGCTGGTGCACATATTGCTACATGTGCTCAGAGAGAGAGAGTCAGCTGAAACTCTAATAACATTGTATTAAAATTATATTAAACATAAACGATAGTTGTAATACAAGTAGAATTCAATATTATACATTATTATATATTCGATAGTTCTTATTCTGAAACAAATATAATATATTCTACCAACATAAAATTATTTAAACTTGAGATACTGATAATCTGATAATAGTCTGGTGGTGGTGATTCGCCGGAGAAGGGTGAAAGCTCTAAAAAAATTGTATTAAAACTGTATTTAGTAAAAAAAAATAGTTGTAATACAATTCAAATTCAATTTTACACATTATTAAAAATTCGATTGTTGTTATTTCAGAACAAATATAATACATTTCAAACAATGTAAATTCATTTAAATAGTATCGGAGTATTTGAAATTCACATATAATACTTATACTATATTTGTATTAAAAATGTTATAGCTATATATTTCACCATGTATGTCGAAACATGTCTATAATATATATAATATATTGAATTCAAATGTGTTACAATTGTTATTTATTTTTTTCTCTTATTAACGGTGTTAAATATATTATTATATTAAAAATATATTAGTTATGTATTTACAATGTGTATTGAAAAATGCATATAATATATATAATGTATTGAATTCAAAATGTATTACAAATATAATTTTTATTTATTTATTGTATTAATGATGTCAAAAATCATATTTTCATAAAAAAAATGTTCATCTTCACAAATCATCATTAATTATTAAAATAATTGAAATTTTAAAAAGAAAGAGACAAAAAAAATGAATAAAAAGAGAGAGAGAAATGGTGTTAGAAAACAGGAGAGAGAAAGCGGAAGAAAAGAAAAGGACCTGGTAAGAAAAGTAAGGTTACTAGAGTATAGATAATAATTCATAAATAAAATTATATAATATATTATTAATGTAAATGACCCTTAATATTTTTTAGATTAAGCAAGTTTAATCATGTCCCAACCTAATTTTTAGCTCAAAGTAAATAGGGATTGCAATGGAGCGGGACGAATGCAGGGCGAGTGAGTTTAAGGCTATGTGAGGCGGGGGCAGGTGTAAGGTTGTGCAGGGAGGGTGGATGCAGGGCGAGTTGAAGTGGATTTTTTTAAATTAATGCGAGGCGGGGCGCAGATATATGTGATTTTATGTGGGTTCAAATTTAATTTTAACTTTTTACATGTTATAAGAGTGATAGAGCATTATTTATTAAAATAATTTCTATAAATCTACTAAAATATTCAAAATCGTAAATGAAAATGGTTCAACAAAAATAACGCAATTTCTTACATATTTTCCAATTGAACTCTAAAAATAAATTTTTAAGTCACTATCCTATTAAATTAATACAACTTAATGAAAAAAAGAATTTATTCTTATGAATTTTAGTTTGAGTATCAAACTTAACTAGAAAAAGAAGATATTAAAAATGTTATGCAGGGTGGGTTCATACTGGGCAGGTTTATGCGGGACAGGTTGAAAAAAATGTTATGAAGGGCGGGGTGAATTAAAAAATTTACGGGTTATGCTCAATCCGCCTCACTCCCACCCGGCACCTCCCCATTGCCATCCCCAGAAGTAAATTTGAACAATCCAACCCAATTGGTAGATGAGCCTATTTCAGTGTCTCCATTTCAGCCCATTTGACTGACATCCTTGGAAAAAACATTGCCAAGTCTCTTAGTCTACATCCACAATTAGAGGTTTCTACGGAGCTCAATTATTTGCAAGCTAGACTTTATTTGTGACCTCTTATCATAAGATATGACATGGACTGTAAAGCAACTTCTGTTCCTAGACTCAAAACACTGCAATTACATGTTACACAAAAAAGGCAAGCTGAATGAATATTCGCTTTGCAGCTACAGGAACTGTACAAGTATGTAGATGAAAGTATGCTGGGACGAATATGGACTTGGGATCCTTTCTTAACCTTCAATGTGTAACTTCCATTTCTCCCAATCCAGCTGTCAAACTTGAATTGTGACATAGCTGCACATTAAACAATTCAGGATAAGTTATTACATTACAAACACCCAAAAAGGACTACATTTTTCAAGTTCAAAATTTCTAGTTTGAGCAAAACATAAGCACCAGGAAAGAGATTTTCTAATTGAATCCTCCTATCTGACTCAAGCACAATATAATAACATGTTAACTCAAATACATACAGAACATTCCCTTACCTTAAATTTAAAGTTAAAACTGAAAAATCATGATTCATCAAGGTCATTATTGTTAGAGTGACCTGCAGTCTGCTACAATTTCAATGTTGACTTCATGTATCTCAAAGCAGATCGTAGCATCGCTCTAGCTTTCCTATCTGGGATGCATCCACACAACAACATTTCTTCATAAACAGCTGGAACCTGAAAGCCAAAATATTTAGCTGATCCCTACACAACTTTGATGTAGGAATGCACAATCCCGTAAATTTGACAAAGATAACAATCTTAATGTGATATTCATTACAATTCTGCCATTTATTTTAGAAACTTGATACTTTTTGCTGCATCAAAAGATTGAGGTTCAGAGCTTATATAATGAAATATGCTAACTTAACGTAAAAGAAGAACCAAGAGTAAGACATTAGGTGGAAAAAACCAAGAGAAATAATCAAGAAGATACAAAAATGGAAACTTCAACTCAACAGAATAAATAAAAAGTAGGTGTTTACCCTTTCAAACTTCTCCACACGTATCAAGGTTTTCATGAGAGTGGTGTAAGTAACAACATCCGGCTTCATATCCTGCAGTTGTAGGATATGTATGGAAGTTAGAATGATATGTAGTCACTAAGGGGAGAAAATACAGAAATTTGTATATTTACCATGTATAGGAAAAAGATAAGGCGAACTCACATTTTCTTTCAAATACTTCAATACAGCAAAAGCTTCAGCATCTCTCCGATCCTCACCAAATGCATTAATTAGTGAATTGAGAGCTAACAGGCTGGGCTTTAGACCATCACCCTTCATGATCCTAAAGGCATTTACTGCTTGTTCAGACAATCCCTATAGGTGGAGAAAGAAACTTTTCACATAAAGGGGTTTATATAAAGGGGTTTATCGTCATTTTCTTAGCCTTAGATTATTAATAATATAGAAATGTTATCTTCCTTACACCTGTGTGTGGTGAGTTTAGATTTACCTTGCAACCCAACAGAGCATTCTTTAGGAGGTAACACAATCTTGTTCTTGATATCTTTGGTTTTTACTAGGGGCCTAACTTGAGAGATTGGCTATATAAATCTTCGTAATCATTTTGCTCCATTCAGAACCTTTTCATTCTAAATTTCTAATAATCAGTTATTCGTCTTTTAGTAAAACTAGTGATTCTGGAAATCTCACATTTACCAACACTGACTTATAATCTCTAACAAAACTAAGAAACTTCCTGCCAAACTCAGTACCTCATGTAAGTGTACTAGCGACTAAATATACCTCTAAGTTAATCATTTTTCACAATGTTTTGAAATTGAAGTGACCTAAACGTGCATGTCATAAAGAATTTGACTCAAGTAACCAATTAGTTTGTACTACCTATATGGATACACATAATAAATATCTACTATGGGAAATTATGACCTAAGATATCGTGTGAGTAAGTAAGCTATGTAAATTTCACAAAGCAGCTCATCATAGGTCATGATAAGTTTAGAGTTATTTACCCTCTGTGCATAGGCATTGATCAAGGCATTATACATGGTTGAGGATGGCTTCAACCCTGCAGACTTCATTACCTCCAAGCACTCAATAGCATCATTGAACCTTCCTGACTGTCCATAAATATTAATTAGAGTGGTATATGTAACAACGTTGGGAAGTAGGCCCTGACTCTGCATTTTACTCAACAGGCACTTCACCTCCTCCCATTTCTCGAGCTCACCAAAAGAATTAATCATTATATTGTATGTGGTGGTGCAGGGAGAACATCCACTTTCCTGCATCGTCTCAAACAGCTCCTCCGCCTTATTGTGGTGGCCATGCTTACTATGGCAATCTATTAGTGTGTTCCATGTAACAGTATCAGGTTCAATTTCCTCCAACTTCATCCTTTCAAATGTAGACATTGCATGATCCAAACAATTGTACTTCCCAAAAGTATCAATCATTATGTTATAGAACTGCCTATCAGGATTGACCCCACTATTCTTCATTTCTTTAAGCACCTGAAATGATCTCTGCCACTCTCCCCTATCACGATAACTAGCTAAGATCCTACTAAACACAAATGAATTTGGCTGAACATTATTAGCTTCCATTTCTTTCAACACAATTCTCGCACTTTCCCACCTACCTGCATTTCCATAAGCATCAATAAGCAAGCTATATGTATGTTCATCTGGTGCGACCCCACTACTCTCCATCTCTGACACAATATACTCAGCATCCTTCAAAGATCCAGTTTTAACATACCCTTTTAAAAGGGCATTAAACGCCCTCGTCCTTGGCTTTAACCCGCCTTCTTTCAACTCCTCAAATATAGCCTCAGCTTCCTCAGTCCTGCCTGAATTACCCAATTCGGATATCAAGTTAACAACAGTAGCTGTTTTAGGGCTCAATCCATTACCTTGAACAATACTCATGAAACCTAAAGCTCTATCAACATCACCAGCTTTAGCGAAACCCACAATCATATCATTCAACAATTGGCCATCAAGTTCAATCATATCAGCTTCAATTTCATAACAGAACTTGTGTAACATGGTCAAATCAATAGAATTACTACGAATAAGGGACTGAATAATCAAACTATAATTAACATAGTCAGATTGATACCCGTCTCTGCGCATTCTACACATCAAATTAAGTGCTTTTTCGAGATCACCGTTTCGTGCACAAGCTCCAATAAGTGCATTGTAGGTTAAAGGGGTGAGTGTTTGCCTCTGAGAGAGCAAAAAAGCCTCGTACAATTTCTCGGAGCGTCCGAGCGCGTGAATAAGAATAGAGTAGAGAAGTTCGTAAGAGAAACAAAGGTTGTGCTTCTGAAGCCATATAACGAGTGCATAGGCTA